ATTACGCATTAAGGTATCAAGAAGATCAACAAGAGACAAAGAGATTGCCAAAATCACCACGTTGAAATTTACCACCGATCAAATAAATAACGAATTTGATGTAAGATTAAGGAAATGATGCAAAAGACTTAGGATTTGAGATATTGAACGGTCGATGAAATTGTTGAAGTAGTTACAGAATCAGAATGCCTTTGCAGAATAGAAATGAACAGAAGACGTCGAAAATACTAACTTATATGCTTGTGAAGCCTTTACAGCAATGGAGTCAGCAATGCAGTGGTATGAACAACAAAATCAGAGGTAATACACCATATCTTTGTTTAAATAGTATAAAGTGAATTGACGCGAAAAATTCATTGGCAGTGCAAAAATTGATTATTATTTCAAAAGGTATTTATTTATTTTATTATTTTGATATATATATGAATATGATATTTAGTATTGAGCCCACGAATTAGTTTTAAATTATATATTAAATATTAATGGCGGGAAGTTTGATTATTCGCATAAATGATATTCGCACTCTTCGGTCCTAATGAGGTGATAATCAGACGTCATTGTATTTTTGATTTAATAATTACGAATACATCACTTGTCTAGTTAGTATAAAATTGCCAATCCATCGAGAAAACACTATTAACGATAGCAATCATCAAGAATCCAATGAAACAAATACATGACAAAGTTGCCAAAAAGAATAGATAACTTAATCACCGTTGGTAAATGTATTGATTTACTAACATTTCAACATAAATATACACAAAATCAATACTTAATTGTAATTCAGGACTCTAAAATTTGAATAAATTTTTAATTAGAATTTTGATATAATTAGAAATCAATATTCGCATAATAAACAATTTGAAACTATAAGCTCATTTTTATTTTTATATAACAATGTAATAATAGTATGAAAAATCATCCTATTATCAGTATCATATATATATTATAATTTTCTTCCTTTCTTTCACTATATGTACTAGATGAACAAATTACACATATCTTACAATAAATACTACAATAATACAACTTTATATAACATAACAGCGATTATTATCAGTTATAATTAATAGTTATCTGGTCTACAGAATCAAGTCGCATACAAATTCCGCATTTAACACAGTTAATAAGACTTGACATTATACCAAATACTTAGATTATCTACAAAAATTGAGAGCACGAATAATTTTTAGAAGAGTACTCCATATTTGTATTTTTATACACATCATTTCACAAAGAATAATAGATTGAGAGTAAAACTAGTTAGTCCTAATTGATATAATATACAATAATAAAAAGTTAATTTAATCATTAATCACTATAGATAATGGATATATATGAAATAATCAATAACAATAATAATAAAACAATAGGTGATATATAAATAAATTGCCAAAACACAAGGCATAGTACAAATATTAAATACTGAATAACGGTATGGCATTGCCTGAAGCAGTCCGATTAAAGGACTTGTTGACTTACATGTACATATAAAGACACGTTTCGAAAAGCCAGCGGCATATGACGAAGGTGACAAAATATACTATGTTCAAGGTCTCATTCTCCGTGTGGAGAAGAGCGTACTATGTGTACTAGAACCGTCAACGACCAAGCTTGCGCCTATACCCAACCCAAGAACTGAGTCAAAAATATACACAACCGGCGAGTGGCTTCGGTCTTTTCAGATCACTGATTTTTATCTAACATTATAATGGAACCATATCGTTTTTATCAGTACCTTCTTCGATCAATAGAGAGTAAGAGTTTTGTTTTATCTGTTATATCGTTAATACGAACTTATATCGTTTATTGATAAAGCAGTCAAAATGAACGACGCGCACTATTTTCATTTATATTATTTCACATTGTTTTCTTGATATAATTATTTTTATTTATTAATAGTATATTTAATTTTGAAGTCAACATATTGTTTACACAGTTATAACTAATCAATTTATAAGCAATGTGGCTAAACCTATCGATATATATATCTGTATTATAGTAGGTAATAGGTATTATCAGTCACCACACATTTACATTTTCCAAGATTATATTGACAATTGACGTTCAGTGCCGTCAAAATTTCAGCCGCTAAGTGTTTGAACAAAAATCAGTGAATAATTACATTGATATACTTATATATTTTATTTTATTATTTATATAATGCAATGAGTTCATGTGACGAGATCATATATTCACATGAGATTAAAATAGACGGATTATAATGAAACGATCAGACGTTTTCAATATTGACTATGTACATGAAAGTGAACACGACACGATACTACTCAGTCTTATGACAGTGCCGATGAAGCTATTACAAATATAAGTAGATATGACGTTACTATAGAAAATATCGATCTACCGATTTATGTTAAAAAAGATAAATCTATTTGAGCGTGTGATCACACGCCCAAGAACAAGTGGAAAAAATTAAAATACCAGCCCCATCATTAATTTCTAGCAAATTATACACCTGTAATGATCCCATAACGAAAACCCTAATAAATTATCTCAAACAAAAACTAATACACAAAATATACAAATCCAATAAAAGCTCATTAAAAGTTCGAAAGATCAAATGTTTGTCACGAATTTCGATTAAGTAATTAATAGAAATAAGACTTAAAAGTATGCACTGAATGCTAGATTATCTCAACAAAAAAAAAAAAAACAATTTAAAACAAACAAATAATTTTTATAGTAGACACTACATTTGTATTTTTTTGTTATATTAAGCAGTTAGACCACAAATAATAATAGGTAGCTGATAATGTAAATCTATGTTAGTCCTAATTAATAATTAATCTTATAATATAAAACCAAAACCAGCTTCCTGGGTTTTTTCACCAGAGTGCTCTGGTTTAGTGTACTGGTCAATCGAAAAATTAAAATTTTTTCTTATCGTCATCATCTGATATCTCCCGCGCGCTGTTATCGTTATCGTTATCTCCCTCCGTCGTCGTTATTATTTGTTTTTGTTATATCGTTTTTTCCGATTTTCGACCGGTTTTCCGCCCTTCAGAGACCTCTTTCCGTCGCGTTCTTGACGCCGTAGCCCGGAGCGGGTCTTTTTTGTTCGGATTCGGTCCTCGGCCGCGGCCGCCCGCCGACGACGTCCGCCCGTTTTTCTCCAGTTTATCTCTCCGCCCCAAATCGGTTTCGCCTTTTCGCGTCCGCGCGTTTTCCGATCGTGGAGTCTCTCGCGAGTCCCGCGTCCCCGAATTCCGTTCGCGGCCGTCACCGTCGCGTCCAGTCAGTTATCATATCGTAATCATTTATTTTTATATCGAATACGCGTCGTTTTGTTTTCGGTGTCTCCGCCCTCGGACGCCTCCTCGACCTCATCGGTACTGTCTCGACGGCGTACGAAATACGATTTATTATGTGTATAAAAAAGAAACGCGCGTTGGGTTTAACGGATTCTTATTTGTATTATACAAAAACATCGCAAAATCGTTGTTCTTCAGTCGTTGTAATGCCTTTAATCGCATTCATTTGGGGCGATATCGTGATATGTGTCTGTGATAATAAACTCGGTACGTCATTAAGACGTATACGATTAAATAATGTAAACGAATATGTCAGAAACACTCTAAACGACAATAAACATGCGATTTACGGTTTCGTGACACGCGAATCATACTCGTAGAAATTGTATTGCTTAAACGATGTGTAATATAGTATTCGTCGCATCTCTAAAACAGTTTAAGTGCTCGAGATTCGGTCGAGTTTTACAACTCAAACGGTAATCGATAGATGTTAGGATAGGTCCCCCAACGTTAGGTAGGCAGGTTCGAAACACGTTCCGGCGAAATTCGAGCAGCTCCATAAGAAACCGTACATAGCCCTGTCAGGTATCGATATTCACTGGACGATGACGTGTTAATTAGTGGCCTCACTTTATATAGTTTATCATAATTTATATCATTTCTATTTGGTCGAAAATTATTATCAGATAAACGCATATGAGCTAAAAACCAAGAATATCTATTCACAGGCATGAAAGATGAAATGTATTCAGCACTGAGTTGAGGATTTGATGACCAATAATCTTTATAAGAATAAAGTTTTTTAATAACCATAAGCAAATTGATTGCTAAAAATGTCTTCATAGACTGAGAAGTAGCAGTTTCAAATGGTTTTTGTTTTTGGTGTGCATAAAAATTGGTTTGAAAAACCAGATAATTAATAAAGCTTTCAGGAAAAATACAATAAAAATAACTGAGTGGATCTCCAAGCCCTGGTGGTAAATTGGGCCCAACTTTTCCTTGGAATGGTAATGGATTTATCATCAAACCATGCTCTTCCCATATGCCTTCCATATTTTAAAGACTGTCAGCCAAAGATATATTATCTGGATCATACATATTGGACCTCATAGGAGTGTTCTCACAGATGGCCTAAGACATTAAACAAGTTTTATTTATTTATAAATAGCAAAATTTACAATTATATACTGCAGTAAAAACTAAATAATTGCACGTATAATGTATATAATATTTATATAAATAAAATGTAGGTACTCACAATATCATTGTTAATGACAATATCTTCAACATATTGAGATTGAACATACTCAAAACTATACTCTTCATTGTAAATGGATCTAAACTAGATGGTATATTTATGACAATTACATCATTCAGTGTGTTTTGGTTATCCTAAATTGTGCAATCACTTTGATATAACAAAGGTTTAAAAAAAACTAATTAATTTTATAATTATTTATTTCAACTGAGTAGGCATTTTCATCTTTATCTAATAAATCATCGCAGATTGAATCATCATCACTTGTAATAGATTCAAAAATTTCAAATAGTTTATCTTGAGATAATTCCTCTATATTTATTTTGTCAAGGCTCATAGTTGTTTCTGGCGAAACCATCTAAAAAATAGTTATTTTAAATAACAAAATAGAAATAAATATGAATTATGACGATAAAATATTGTTTTTAGTGTACTTACTTTGCAATTTATAACCAAAGTTCGGGCTTTACAGGCGTACCGAAGGTTAATTCAAAAGAAATGTAACCACAAAATTTGCATAGACAAAAATTACATTTTCCAACGAAATATTTATTATTAATTGATAACTAATTAATCTAGGAAGATGAAACAAAAAACAAAATGTACAGTGCTACCGACATGATCTTCTGTAGGTGGTTTTAATAGAATACCACTGAGAATAACCGCATAAAAAAATAACAAAAAGGTGGTTTCGGTTAAAAACCACTATGGCTCAAAGGGGTAAGGGCAAAAATTTCATAAAACAATTTTTATTTTATAACATGTAGAAGTATTAATTTTTTTATATGATATAACATTGTTTTTATTTGTCAAAATACATCTACTCTAACTATAATTAAGAAATTGCTCAATTAAATATACCTATTATTATACCTAAGTAGTATTAACAAATAATAATATAATTGGTTCCGGCATAGGTAAAGTGGCGCTCCCATCGCCCAGTGTACCTATAATACACTTCAGTAGCCGTACCCTGACCTTAAGTGGTTGGGGTAGTCTGGTCCTCCAGGTTGGGGGTTGAGCGCAGGGTTAACAACCCTGCCTCGTAAAAATGCTTTGTTCAGGATCCTAAGAACAAGCCTTGAACTACATTTAATGGAAAAATACATGGAAACGGAAACACGGAATTTACTATTGGAACTTGAAACGTACGAACTTTTTACAAACCCTGTGCTGCACAAAGTATGATTAAGGAAATAGAAAAATATGGTTTAAGAGTAGTAGCTCTGCAGGAAATAAGATGGAAGGAAGCAGGAAGTATAGACATGGGCAATATGACAATCCTTTGAGGGAAATCCTTAGGTGATGAAAGAGGACAATTTGGAGTTGGTTTTGCGGTACATAAGATAAGAATATAGTACCAACGATAAAAGATTTTAGAATAATTAACCCTAGACTGGCGTTGTTGAAAATAGAGACTAAATGGTTCGATATCGTATTCGTTAACGTACATGCACCTACGAAGGATAAATCACAACAAGAAAAAGAAGTTTTTTATACTGAGATAGAACAACTACTAGAAGGGATTAGTAATAGCAAAATAAAAATTGTACTAGGAGACATGAACGCTAAAATAGGGAAAGAGAGATCATATAGACCAACTAATGGTACCCACAGTTTACACGACATGACTAATGGCAATGGCACAAAACTTGTGGATATGGCCATAGGGAAAGGTCTTAAAGTCAAGAGAAAAATTTCTGAAAAAGAACGATGGAAGCCTAGTGACGAATCAGGAAAAAATAATGGAGAAATGGGCAGAGTATTTTGAAAAGCTACTCACTTGTGAAGTACTAGTTGATAAATTTACATATGGACATAACGAACCCAATGATGATCCCTGTCCATCCCCATCAAAGGAAGAAATCGAACAACAGATCAAAAGGCTCAAAAACCACAAGTCACCCGGGGAAGATGACCTTCAAGGCGAAATTCTAAAGCATGCGGACAGCTCCATGATAGAGAGTATATACTTGTTGATAAAAGAAGTGTGGGAGACGGAAATTTTACTGACAGATTGGGGAGTAGCATACATATGCCCAATACACAAAATAGGCGACAAGCAAGTCTATAGTAACTATAGAGGAATAGTGTTGCTAGATACAACATATCTATCATATTGCATCCTGGATAGAATCAAACCTCTGGCCGAAAAAATGGTGGGGGACTATCAATGTGAATTCAGGCAAAATAGGTCAACAACAGACCAGATATAATCAGGCAGTTATTCCAGAAAAGCTGGGAATATAATAAGGAACACCATGTTTCGTGGATATTCAAAAGGCGTATGACAGTATAGATAGAACTAGCATAACCAATATTTTGAAACATTTCAATTTCCCAAGGAAAATAGTATATTTAGTTGTAGCTAGTATAAGACAAACTAAAATTAAAGTCAAAGTAGGAAACGCGACATCGAGGATGGTGAAGGTAAGAACCGGACTTATACAGGGGATGCCCTGTCGCCAGTACTGTTTAATTTAGTATTAGAGAAGGTGATTCGAGAAATAAATATTGGAAGAGATGAAGGAGTAAGAATGGATAGAACTTGCTTTAGTCTGTTCGCCTATGCACACTATAGTCTTGCTAGGGGAAGAGGAACAAATAGTGGTAAATTTATGTGGCAGGTTAATAGAATCGGCAAAGAAGGTAGGGCTACATCTCAACATAGAGAAAACGCAGTACATGAAAGTTAGTAGGGAACTAGATAACCTTCAGGAAACCGAAACCGTAACAATTGGTCAGTACGAGTTCAAAGAAGTGGAAGATTTCAAATACCTGGGCACAATTGTAACGCAGAAGAATGAATGTCAAATTGAAATTCAACAAAGAATAAAAATGGGAAATAAATGCTTCTATGCACTAGGCAAACTACTAAGCTCGAAAGTCCTGTCAAAAAAATTTAAAACTCAGCTGTACTTGACAATCATACGACCAATAGTCATGTATGGTTCACAATGTTGGACGTTACGAAAGACTGAGGAGGACAGATTAGGGGTTTTTGAAAGGAAGGTATTTCGCAAAATATATGGACCTATATATGATCAAGATTTTCAAAGATGAAGAAAAAGGCATAATCAAGAACTGACGGAGCTTTTCAATAGATCAAATATTATAAACAAGATCAAACGGAGTAAGCTTGAATGGGCAAGACACGCAGTTAGGAAGCAAGATTCAATGGTTTAAAGGGTGTTCCAAGAAAACCCAAAGAGAAAAAGACCACTGTGTAGACCCAGGTTACACTGGGAAGATGAAATTTGGAATTAAAAAAGATTTCCTAAGTGCTGGTGGAGTGGAATATGATCACATTGAATGGAAGGAGGTAGCGGAAAAAAGAGAAAAATGGGGAAGGATTTGTTCTATGGCCTTAAAAAAAAAAAAAATATATTATTGGTAATAAATAATATTGTAATACACTTGTAACCAAACGGTCGTTATATTATTATATTGTTTTTTTTTCTAATTCATATTTATTTTGAATACGAAAATCGCATCCTTTTTCATTATATTATATTGCGTGGGTGCTAATCCCCTTTCTTATATTATTCCTTTGTAGTGTGCGAGAATCGCCACTTGTTATATTTATACTATTTTTTTATAATATTTTTCTTATTATTTTTGTATATTTCTATTCGTATTTGTGTGTTTGATTGATATTATTATAGGAAAGGAAGCAGCTGGCCAGTCTGCGCTCCACAATTTGTGGAGTTTTAATTATTATTATTTACTTATTTATATTATTACATTCTTCTAAGGCTGGGCCAAAAGGACACATATTATTATTGTTATTATTATAATCAAATTTATATTCATATGAGTTTCAGCTCAAATAGTTAACTATATAATTATATTTTACACATGTGTGTAACACACATACACATAATATACACACAGTTACTCATCCACCGCACACTAGAATTCAATAGTCTTGCTCGGCAAACCCGTCCACTTCTATTGAATTGCTAAAACACATAATATACACACATACACAGGTCGGTCGGTGTGTGACCGTACAAGCGTGCGAAAGATTCGGTGACCAGGGCGCGCGTATCTCACAATTATATGCTCCTGACCCTAACAACCATCACCACACACACTGAATCATTTGGACTTTCATTGAATTGATAAACAAAGGTTTCAATGATTTAACAGTTATTTCAAAACAGTGAAAAGAACATCAGAAACAAGCACGCTGCAATACAAATAATTGCAATTTTAATTATAATTTTAAATATTTGTGCCACATCGATACTACACTAAGACGGCTATACCAAAACGTACTATCTTAAGCAATTCTCATATTTATGTGATACTCCAAAATACTTAAAAAAAAAAAAACTAATAACTATATTTTAATAACTTAAAATATCTAGATTTTCTATTGCAGGGATCGGCAATAGGCGGCACACGGAGGGAAAATAACTAGACCGCCAAAAAAAAAACATTTTTTTTTTTTTTTTAACGCTCGTTTTATGAACACAATTTATACTTTATCTTTTTATGATGTATTTGGAGATTATGATGGTGTTCATTGTTTATCGCTGTTTACAATAATAGTTATGATAACACAACGATTATTAACTTACAATCAAGTTTTTACTGGCCCTTGTAAATTGTTTTTCAAATTTTCTATATCGCCATAGAATTAAATTTCCGTCCCCTAGTTTATCGTATATTTATAGTCATATTACTTACGTTTATAGAATTTATTCATCACGCATTCTGTAAAAAATAATATATTAATATAGAAACACTATCGTAGTAAATTAGTATAACTTAATTTTGAAACATGACTATAAAATAAATCCATTATTAAAGCCTTCATTTTTAAATATTGTTGTAAGTATGTTGTTAGTGCAAATAGAAAATATGTATTCTTAGAAATAAAAAGGTTAAAGGATAAAATAAATATAACACGTTTTTCCCTTTTACGCTGAACAATTTATTGTTACATTAACAATAGAATTACATAATAGTGTCCAATTATTAACATCACGCCAACATTCAGTAGTGAAAAAACACGTATAATTTCGAGTTAAGTACCCCAAGCACTAATTACAAGGTAGACAAAGTTTTACTCTGATTATTTACACCAAAATGTAAGACTACTGATCGTCGTAGACATAATAATAACCACATCGCCACGAGTACATGGTCACTCCCACTTTTAGTAACTTTTTGTAATAACAGTAAGTTATGATAATTTAAATTATTGTTTTATAAGGAATACAGTTTTATAACTATTTAAGTTATAAGCACAAGTGTTTTATTTATTGAAAACTTCCCTTACCAAAACTACCTCAAGCTAAACAGAAACGTACGATATACCACTATTTCCAGTAGGTACTATCAATTATTTTTTGTCTTAAATTATTTAATTTTTATATTTCTAACTAATTAAAGATTATCGGTTTTGGAGATAAGAGATATTATCATTTTTTTTAGAAGTGGTGCACGTTAGCGATAATAATAGTTAAGTGCCTAAATATATACGATACACGATTACACGAAACCATACATTGTAAAATATTATAATATTACGATCTTAGTCCGTCGACAATCAACTAAATTGTATTTATTGTTTACTTTAGAAATAAAACCATATATGTCTCTTAAAAACAGCATGAGTAGTTTAGAAAATACAAATTTTAATTTACAGTAGGTAATAAGTACCTACAATAATCTAATAACCTATAGTAGTTTTATTGCTATTATAAATTGATGTATTTTTTAATTTATCTTGAATATTATTAATCGTTTTTGGTAATGGCACATTCAAATATGTTTATAAAATAAATACAAATTAGATATATTCAATGAGTATATAACCTTTCATTAATTCTTTGCAGAGATTTTCATCTGTCACTTCTCCTAAATTAATAATTATTTATTATAGTTTATGACATATACTTTGGTGAAAATAAAAATAAAGTGAATCTGTGTCAAATACGAATAATAACTAAAAATACTTTTAAAATGTTGATTTTTAAAAATAGATTTTGATTGTAACGCAAATCAATTATTTTATATTATATATTTGTGTTTTTATTTATCAACTATTTATACAAGTTTCAAAATTTTTATGTACGTTGTTCAATAGTATTGTTAATTACCAATCAGACATCGAATTTTTTCTCCATGAATTATTTCGAAACATAACCATAAAAGTGCCAATGAGATGTACATAATGACTATGAAATTAAAATTTGTTTTACTTAGAAACCAATTTAATAAATTAGAGAATTATCATTAATTTATCTTGTAACTTATTATAAAGAATGTTATTATTCGATGTGAATAGCTGTAACACAAATGAAATAATAATTTACGTTTCGATGTGAAATAGTTACTTTTGTTTCTGTTTAAACACACTTGTATTATGTTGATACATGTGTTATATTTTTCATTTTAGGATAACATTTATTTAATTATTTTTCTTGCGTAATTTAAACATTCTTATGATTATATGTATCAGATAAAAATTGTCAATTAATTACTTTTAAATTTAAAATGTATTCTGCATCATAAATTAAACACAGTCAGTAGATTGTCGATAACTCGGTTATCAAGGGAGGTAAAAATTAATTCGACTGATGTATTTTTCGAGTTGCATTGTTAAATAACTCGAATTTTCTTAAAAATACAAAATAATTCAAGTTGGATATTTTAATAATATGTATAATATATCTGTTACGGTGAAAGATGAATATTGGTGAATGTCGTCATTCTCCGGTGAATGACGTCTTTTACCAAAAATGATTCGATTTTACAGGTAAATGATGTATAAAACCAGATTTTAAATTCAAATGTACATCTTTCACCGGTCATTGTTGTCATTTACCAAAACTAGTGGTAAATGATGATAAATCTCAAATAATACACTGATTTTTTTACTATAGGTACTATTTATAATAATGACTTAGTGTTGGTGGATGTTTCATTTTTTATTTTAGGCATTTATTTGAAGGAGATAATAGGTTAATTAAAAATTTTAAAATACATGCATATTACAAATTATTTATTTGTACAATTTAATTACCATGACATTTTAAACTGCACAACATTTCAAGCACATTTTTTAGTACCAAAACTAGTACACACATTTTTACGAATAATATTAACACATATTTGTAGCAAATACAACTTGTTATAATATGCCCGTCGATACTAACTAATAGACTAAAAGAATCGACGTTATTGCTAGTTGGGATTTTCATTTATCTATCTACTTCCGTCACGATATTTTTAACTAACGAAGCTTATTCGGTACCTACACGTTTATCACTGATCGTTCACACCGAAATAAAAGTATTAAACATCATTCTCCGATTAAACTGGTGATTGACGACAATAACCGGGGAATGTCTGCATTTACAACGTTTACCAATTTTTAGGTAAATGATGTCATTTACTCGGGGAATGACGTCTTTTACCACGTTTACATCATTCACCGTAACATATATATAGAAATTTTCGTATAGTATTTATTATTATGTGATTATCTCAAATCGGTATTTTTAATTTGTTTTTAGGTTCATTTTAAATTTTGTTCGTTTTATTACGTATTTCGATAAAAGTTCAAATAGGTATAATATTAAATTTGTTTTGTTAAATTTAAAATCATAATATGAATAAATATTTATTGAATCTTATCAAATATATTATATATTATTTCTATATAATAATAATTACAGCTTAATAATATTTAGAAAAAATCAAATAATGGAATAATGACTATTTTCACTATAATAATTACGAATATGCTAAATTAAATTTTCTAAATCTATTTTATTTTCTAAAAAATACGTATTTTTGTATATAAGTTGATTACATTTTCTCATAATATAATTATAGAAAATATAATCGTCTAAAATCCTAATTATAAATTTTATAAATTAACACGTTAACTGCCATGTGTACATTATTTTGTACACGGGAAAATGGTCATTCATGTATAGGCATTTTTTTGTATGTTTGCATGTCTAAAATTAGTCAAAATTAAAATTAGATAAAAGTAAATTCAAAAACTTCCGGAATGGGTGCCAATGAAGTTTACACATTCACGTGGTTCGCCTACAATGCCTTACAATTTTTACACACCAAGTATCAACCTAGAAAAAATAAAAATACAATTGAAGTAAGTTATTACATTATTATACAATATACAGTAACCAGTACTCACTTGCTCAAGTTCTTCATTTTACATAATATATACTAATATATTATTTTATTATTATTTATATTTTTTCAATATATTTTGATAGTTGTAATTTATTATAATTTATATGCCATTACAACAGTCAATACGATCGCTGAACAAATAAAGCCAGTTATTACTTATTGGCATACGTAGTATTTAATTTAGAACAAAATTAGGTAGATTAATATATTTATTATTAATAGTATATTTAAATTTTAAAATAGATCCTGCCAAGTTACTCGACCATTTGTGTGAAAGTATTTTGCGAATTCCTCCCTAATTGACTAACTGGTTTGTGAAGATTTTCGACCCACTCTTTGTGGCTCGCATTCCATTTCATTTGGTGTATATATATATATATAAGTAGTATGTATTTGTATGTTCACAGCACTTTTGGGCAGGGAGATTTTAAAAGTTTAAGGGGGAATATCCCCCTTGAGCTCATTTTTGTCTCCGTGTAATTTAAAAAAACAGTGATTTTCAAAAACCATAATGTATGTTCACAGCACTTTTGGGCAGGGAGATTTTGTCTCCGTGTAACACAAAAAACAGATATTTTTTTAAAACATATTCATGTTTTTTCAAAAAAATTTAATTCCGTGTAATACAAATTATAATAATTCTAAAAAACATTTTATAGGATGCGATCTGGTTAAAATAAAAACAAAAATATATATATTTATTAATATATATTAATTTATTTAGTATTTAGAGTTTAAAAAAACTTTAACGTTTGTTAAATTACAATGATCAAATACACTACAATCTTTTGTTAATACATTTTTACGTCCCTTCTGCAATCCGATTATAATAAATCGAGGTTTTTCTAATTTTGAAGCAGTTTTCAAGTTCCATACAACTTTTTTAGTGGTTCCAAGTTCAGGGTATTCGAAAGTTTCAAAAGATCTGAACGGGATAAACAAAATTTTTTCTTTTTCTATAAGTTATAATAATTTCAATCTTTTTTCATCATCAACAGTGATATGTGGTACCTTCCAAACTATTTTATTCAAAACGACTTTTCCTGAATTAGTAATACTTCCATCTTCATGTTCAACTCTTGTTAAAACATTCAGATCACTATGACTTCGAGTTAATATTAGTTCTAATCTAGAATTAACTAATATTTTTTTAAAGTCTTTGAACAAACCTAACCAAAATTTCAGTGGAATGCAAGCACTAAATTCACCATTTGCGTTTGCGGGGTTTGTATTATTTTTAAAAATCCAACCTGCATTTTCATAACAGTTATAGTTATCTGGTGTACATGATAGATGACCTTTCAACGAGCTGGTTATACCTAGTACTCGAGTACTATCTACTTCTATTCCATTGATTTCAAGTCGTATTTGTTCAAAGAGATATGAAAAACCGTTATTAGCAAGTTTTACTTCACTAGCTTCTGATATTTTACCTTCTAAAAAAATAAAACTCTCATGTAAATACGGATAAACATCTGTTTGCTGGATTGATATTCGTATTTCATCATTATTATTAAATGAAGTCGTATAAGGTGTATATGAATGATATTCAATTTTCGTAATTTTAGAATCTGTTTCAAACCTCGAACTTATATCCAAAATATCGCTTTCAGGCATTCTGTTTCAATTTATAGCCTAACGCCTTTAAAATGTTTTTATTTTTCACTGTCAATTTCTTAACTTTACTTGATGTTGACGGTAACACTTTAGTCGAATGACTAGCTAGTCTAACCTGAAGTAATGGGCTTATATTAAATTTTAATCCCATGTCAAGATCCGTAACTTTAATATGTAGTACAATTGTTAATGTCTCACTAAAATTATCGATTTGATTTAAATCTTGATTAACTAATTGAATAGTTATTGAATCAATATTTGTTTTGTTCAATTTATAATAAATAAGGTTTGGTGGTGATTGAACCACTTTTGTTCTAGTTTTTCCACTAGGGAAAAACTCGTAAATTGAATGAGTTTGAACGTGATTACTGAATGATCCTTGGGCAATATTACACATAACTTTTATACAGTTAATTGTGTTTAAATTTATAGCTTTTTCCGAACGCAGAACTTTAAAATCTGGATAATAGTCCCGTTTTTCAAACCCTAATAAAGGTGCTATTCCATAAACCTTATTAAACTTAATTAACCCATTACATTTTATGAGAGATCTAAAATCGTTAGGATCAATTGAAATTTCGAAAGATATAGATGTTCCATTTTCTTTATTAAAGTCTGTTACTTGCTCTACAACTTGCTGGTTAATATCTTTGATATTATAACAACCTTTTTTTAGCGTAATAAAACAAATTTCCAATCCATTTCGATTCTCATCTAATACTTGAATTTCAAATTTATTATTTTCTGAATTAATATTTGGAAATAAATTAAACGTTTTTAAACATAATAAAGCTATTTCAGAGTCCTCATACACGTTTAGAGGTGGAAAAAAAGTTGTAGTCAATATAGTATCACTCCCAGTTAAGCTTAGAGTAATCGATTCATTCATCTAAAAAAATGAATATCAAGATCCACGACGTTTAATATGGAGAACTATAGTCAATGTTTCACAGAAATCATAAATTGGTATATTATCCTGATCAACTAATTGAATAGTTATTGAATCAATATTTGTTTTGTTCAACTTATAATATATAAGGTTTGGTGGTGATTCAATTACCTTTGTTTCTATTTCTCCTCTCGGAAAGAACTCGTAAATTGAATGAGTTTGAACGTGATTACTAAATGATCCTTGAGCAATATTACATATCACTTTTATACAGTTAATACAGTTATTTGTGTTTAAATTCACAGCTTTTTCCGAATGATAAATATTATAATAAGATCCATAATATTTTCGGTTTCTAAACCCTAATACAGAGCCTATATTGTTTGGATCCGTAAAGTTTAGTGTTCCGTTACATTTTATAACCGATCTAAAATCGATAGGATCAAGACTTACATCAAATATTAAATCAATATGATACTCATTATTGAAGTCTAAAATCGGTTGTTTAATTTTATTGTTAATATCTGTAATGTTATAATATCCTCTTGGGAAATTGAATGAAAAATAATAATCAAAAAACTCTATGTCTATCCTATTATTTGTTGAAATTATGTTTGGAAATGAATTGAACGTTTGTAAACATAATAAAGCTATTTCTGAGTCTTCATTAACGTTTAAAGACGGAAAATAATTTGTAGTCAATGTAGTATCATTCCCGGTTAAACTTAGAGTGATTGATTCATACATTGTAAAAATTTAAGACATAAATGTCCACAGTTAAATTAATTATAATACTGATAATTTGAATAGTTATATATGATTTTGTTTCCTTTAAAATATTTTTGTAATTCAATTGGTGGAGGTAAATCACCAAAGCTGTCAAAGTATGTAACTTTATCCTTATTTTTATAAAACGCTACCCAATGACTTCCATCGCCTGAAGATATATCCAAGTTTAATATTCCACATTCAATTTTAAGCGGTTTTTTAGGTCAGTCGTCACGTGAAAAGATTCCACGGAAATGACTAATATTAAACTCTCCAACATATTTTATAATATCTTGAGATGAAAGTGGTCTATTAGGCAGCGTATTCATTAGTTTTTTTTTCTTAACCTATTATTTTTCAGATAAAATCCACTACCTTTTTTTTCTTTTTGAATTTTGTATTGCATTATACACACTAGCACTTCCAGACAGTAAACTACCAAGTGCTGATAATCCTGCAAAAATAGGTACTAAGGGAATCGCACCTCCTGTCTGACCCGGTATCAAAATCTGTCTTTTACCACTATAATTTTTCTTAACCTTGCTTCTTTTTTTCGCTGCTAATGAACTATTTTTTTTTCTGGCTTGTTTTTGTCTACTTTTATAACCCATCCCCATTTTTTGTTTAGCCTTCATCGCATTTGTTACCAAGTAGGCAACAATTTTCTCTTTTCGAGGAGTGTCTTTAGCTTTAAATCTTTCCCAAGAACGATTTTCTAACACTTTATCAGCTTTATGCCTTTCATCTAAATTTTTACTTTTCGCGTACACTAATTCGTGATCGCGACAAGCGTTATCTAATGGGTTTATTCCTTTATCACCACGATCTATTCGCTTTTCTAATTTCGTACCAGGACCACAAAACTGATAACCAGGAATGTGAGGTTCAAACGGAAGACTATTTATAAGAGAGTTTATAAATCCTTTACCAGTCTTATCCGATTTCCACTTAAGAGTTGAACGCGTCATCAATAACTGATAATAAATTATAAATTCTAGAGTATTTATAAGAAAATGAATTTGATTGAACAGAAAGATAAACTAGATATTTTAAATGTTGATACTCAAGTAATAAAAAAATTGTCAAGACACGGTCCGTTATTACCCGACACTATACGTGCTATTATAGTTGGTCCTAGTGGTTCGGGTAAAACAAATATAATGTATAACTTAATCACACATGAAAACGGATTAAGATTTGAGAATATTTATTTATACTCTAAAACTTCTAAACAGGAAAAGTATATTTTATTAAATAAAATAATAGATGATATAAAGGGTGCTAATTTTTTTATATTCACAGACGCTGACAAAGTTATAAAACCAAATCTAACTAAAAAAAATTCTATCATTATATTCGATGATGTATCATGTGGCCCGCAATCGATTATAAGAGATTATTTCAGTATGGGTAGACATTCAGGTGCTAGCTCTATATTTTATTTAGCACAAACATATTCTAAAATTCCAAAATAATTGGTGAGAGATAACTCAAACTTCTTAATAATACTAAAACAGTTCATACTTTCATTAAAAAATAAAATAATTGTATAAATATAGTTGTAATTTAGTTAACATCTACATAATATTGTTTTAAGTCGGAGGAAACAGTTATATTAAATTATTATTTCTAATGGATAAAGAAAAAGTTTTGTTAGAAAATTTAGTGTCATCGAAAAAAAAAATCAGACGTAAAATAATGGATATGAGACGTGGTGTTATAGATTCTGATAAGTATTTTCGTGATACATTTAAACCTTTACTCGAACCATTTAATACATTGTCAGAAAAAAATATTCCGATTATTTCTAATAAAGATGAAGAAGTTTTAAATGCTAGTGATGATGATAACAAAAACTTATTGAATTCATCGTTTGATAATTTTTTATTTTAAATCCTAAATCACGACGTTATGATAAATCTTATGGTATGCATTATGACTCAGTTAATGATCAACTTAAAATATCAAATATCCCTGTTACTTTTGAACATGGTAAATTACACTTACTCGATAACTACTATCCTTGGACTAAAGGACTTTGGTCATTATTATGTGAGAAAGTACCAAAAAATATGACAATGGAGGATATGGAATCATATTATAATATTTTGAAAATAAGTAAAGTTTTTTTAAAAGCAGATGGGAAACCAAAGACTTCGGGATATTTTAAATGGATGAATGTTGTAAAACCTTTATATGAACGAATGAAAATTGAGGAGAAACAATTTAATGAGGAAATATTGAAAATTAATAATGCGAAAGTTAATAAATCTACTCAATTAAATCTAAAATAATTTGACAACTTTTTGGCTAGTTCAAGTGCTAAACGAAGAAAAATCGATAATAATACAACTATAAAAAATGGCCCGTTTGATTTTTCACCTTCAATGAATAGTTCTAAATTTAAAGAACCTCCAACTAGCCAGCTGTTCAAATTTAGTTTATCACCAAAGGGTAAAAAAGGTTCTGGTTTATATAAAGATGTAATACCTCAAACACAATTAGTATATTATGATGATCCAAATGAGTTAGTTAAGAGATTGAATCTAATAACTGCATCTCAAAGTGTTGGTAATACTGGTGTTAATAATGAAATCATATCTATTCTAGAGGAATTACGTGAAAGAAATATTATAGTATAATGTCAACATTAGAGTGTATAGCTAATGAGTTACATCGACCTGCTAGAAAAATATTCCCTAGACGTAGCACAATAACACGATTTAAAGATGACCTTTGGCAAGCTGATTTAATGGATATGCAATCTCATTCCAAACAAAATCTGGGTTTTAAATATATTTTAGTTGTTATAGATACATATACAAAATATGTATGGGTAGAATCGCTAAAAAATAAAACAGGTAAAGAATGTACAAAAGGAATGTCTAATATATTAATCAAGCCAATCCTAAATTATTACAAACAGATAATGGTACAGAATTTTATAATATTGAATTTCAAGATTTAATGAAAAAATATAAAATTAGACATTACAGTTCATACAGTGTTATCAAATGTTCGATTGATGAACGTGTTATACAAACGCTTAAAAATAACATATATAAACATTTCACTGCAACAGGTACATGGAATTGGTATAACACAATATCAAAAATTATTTATAACTACAATCATACAAAACATAAAACGATTAAATGTACACCATACGAAGCTAGGATGAATACAAGTAAAATTAAATCAAATATACAAATAAATAAATATACATTATATAAACCGAAATTTAAAATTAATGATAAAGTAAGAATATCAAAATATAAACACGTATTTAGTAAAGGATATACACCAAATTGGACAACAGAAATTTTTACAGTTTCTAAAATTTTACATACAAATCTGATAACT